CTCCCTCCCTCCCTCCCTCCCTCCCTCTCTCCCTCTCTCTCTCTCTCTCTCCATCTCTCCATGTCTATACTTTTTCAGAATGTGAATTGATGAAAAATGATTCTGAATATTTTAGAGTAGCTTATAATATCTAACTAAAAAAATGAAATTTTTTCTCAAAACAAAACTTTTGAAAAAATTTCGAAAGTTACTCCTAATATGTTGATTAATTTGATACAATATTAAATTGTAGGTAAAAATACTTGAGAAATATAGTGTTTATTTGCTACAGTTGAGGGTTGCATAGATATTAGAAATATGATAGAGAGGGGAACATTATTTAAAGTTTATAAATTAAAGCTAATTAGTAGTACAATTGTACAATTATTTTATTTATGATATCTTAACAAAGTATATTATATATTAATTTAGATTGTATTTAGTTCTATCAAGTGTATAAAGTATATTGTAACTATTACATTTAATAAAATCTTTTGATAAAATTTGATTAAATAGAACTCTAGACATTTAAAAAATATTTTCAATTTATAGAATTACTTATCTAAAATAATATTTTAATAGGAAAATTTGCTTTAAAAATTTAATTTAACATTTTAAAAAGATACAAAAATGCAATATTTTTATTTGTTAATTTGTATAATAATAAAATTATTATACAAGTTAGCGTTAATAATATCAATTAAAGCATAATTTAAAAAAAGAGAATAAGAAGAAAAAAAATGTTTCAATCCCAAAACTTATAACGTTTTCTCTTGACTGCATTAAGTATCGTCTATATTAGTGCACACTCAAGCAGTGTAACGTATAGTGTTTCCGTATAGTGTAAGGTGCAAATTTTATACACGAAATAGGATTTTACCGTCTTTTTAAGACGGTGTAGAGCCAGTGTGATATTTAAAATTTGAAATTGGAAGTTAATTGGGAGAGAGAGAGAGAGAGAGAGAGAGAGAGAGAGAGAGAGAGAGAGAGAGTAGGATTTTAGCGTAATATAAATGAAATAGTGTACATCATGGTGTGTGTGTGTGTGTGTGCACCATTCTAACGCAGTGTAGCAAAGTATAGCATTTATACGCAACTGGTGCATGGCAGTGCGTGGTGCGGTGCAAAAGTACACCCAGCAACAGAGCAACACCCAGTTACCCAGTGTATTCCAAGGTGTTCCAAGGGAAAATGCTATTCAAAAGGGACGTTGAGTAGCTGGAGTCCTACTCCGAGCGCGCGCATTGCGCAAGTCACATATATCTGACGCATCGGTGTATGTACGTATGTCACGTACGCGAATCCTCCACTCGTAGCCGCCTGTAGCCGCCGCTCGCGTAATAATTGCGCGCATTAACACGACTGTAGTCACAGCCACACCAGCGAGGTGGTGATTATCCAGGTGAGTCCCGTTGTTGCACCATGCGATAATAGAGAGGTGGGTGAAGAGAGTTGGAGAAGAGAGTCACAAACGCGGTGCGCATATTTCTGACCAAAGGCAGACGCAATAAATCGTACGTGCCGTTGATCGTGCGCCGCTGTCGCAACTTGTTCTATATATCTTCAAATTAGCGATCTTTTTCTGGTTCAAGTAAAAGCAGCAACTAAAGGCTTCAAAATTACGTATATCTCGCAAGAGGATATGCCGGACAGCGAGGCTGTCTACCAGCCGACCACCGTCGGCTTCACTTACGACAGCGGCGGTGACGACGCCGCTGTCAGGGCTGCCGCCGCCGCCGCCGTCGCCGAGCTGAGGTACGACTTCTGGCGCATGGTAATCAGGCATAAGCGCGATTCCTGGAAAATGTTCAAGATTGGGATAATTTTGTGCTCACTAATCTTCTTCGTCATCGGCCTTGCGTACACGATCATCAATTTGATAAACCTCATCTCCTTAGAAGAGGATACCTTGAAGTCGAGTGATGATGCATTGGCGGTAAAAATCCTAATTATTGTTTATGATATGCAAGACTGTCTTAAAAATTTGATCTTTTATTTTCAATGTGAAACCTAGACTAAAAGGAAATTTTAGTATTAAACAATTGTTAAGCATTGTTATTTTTTTCTTGCTATAATTCAGCCGTAAGTTTATTTTATTTATATTAAAGATGATTATAAATTGATGTAACAATTATAGATAATGCCAGAAGAACATTCAACAATGACTCCAGATGTACAGCAACAAAAAGTTATAACAAGAAATAATTTAGCGTTAGGCGCTGGAATAATGGCGACCGGTGTACTGTTAACTTTTACTTGGGTATGCGCCACTTTCATTTATCGCAAATTACCAATGAACGCCATGAGCACTGGTCAGGTAAGCAAACTAGTTTCCATCCGCATACAATATTTTGTCTTAATTTTATTTTACCGGAAGCCATCTGCTCTCTGGTATGTTCTGGTACATTTGTTTCTTTATCTTATGTACGCGTTGCTATGAGGAAAGATGTTGGGCGGTTTGAATCCATCGACTGACTTGCTGGTGGGTTCCACTTCGCAGTACGGGCCAGTACTCACAGAGGCGCCAAGCCAGCTGAAGACAAAGCAAGCCAATCAGCCGGCCGTACCGCTTTCTGACCAAGAGGAGGAAATGCACACGCTAATGCAGGATTCTGCGAACCCGCCATCGATTTCCGTTGGATCTAACACCATCACTAATAAAATTCCAGGTTGAGTAAAACGATCGCTGCTCCCGTACAAGCATATATAACATGAACATAAAATCTTGTTTTATAATTTTTCTAACACGTTCAAAGAGATTTTATTTATTATCACTACATGATGATTTTGCAAGTCCTTTCGTTTAAAACTCGAAAGAACCGTCGTCTCTTCTGATTTTCAAGTCATGGTGTCTAGCTCCGGTGGCATTTAGCTACAATAGGTAATCTCTTTAATATTTTGCTTTAAGCTCTGAGTTGCGATGTTAATTTACTCCAAGTTCTATTTATATTAAAGCTTACAGATTATGTTATATAAAAGTACTGAATTTATTACACAAATATTACATAAATATTACATAAATATGGCTTAACACAGTCTCAAGAACGCTTTTTACTGTAAAAAATTTTAAGATTTACAGCTTAGAACAAAAAGGCTTACTACTGTCTATTATAAACTGGAATTTATATTGTTATTGATGTCATTTGATGTTGATCTTGTGATTAAAAAATTTTATTTTATTTAAAAAAGCTGGACACTTTATAATTTATAGAAATTTTTATTAGATTTAGACAATTTGACGAATACGATTTGAGAGATCTCGTTTCTAGTATATTTAGGAAGTTAAGTATTTTTTTTTATCTTTGCTTATGCATTCCTTTACTCCGTCCATTATCATTATTAATATATGTTAAGTAAGTACTTGATTCAGATAAAAAAAAACCCAATTATGACAATGCGTTTCGTAAATTTGATAATTTTTATATTAAAAGTACTGAATTTATTATACAAAATATATATATCTTTTTTAATTTACATTTATATTATTAAATAAATTTTCACTATTAGCGATGCAAAGATCCTCCTAGTGGCGGCCGGTAGAAGCTTCGCTAATCAGACACTTTATACGTGCTATAATGGAAAATAATAAAGTAAAATTAAAAAGAAATACTACATAATGTTTTGTGGCATAATGCCATAATTATAAACAGAAGGGGATCAGAAAAAATTATTTTTTTTTTTTAATGATGAAAACTGATTCCCTTCTGTTTATAATTATGGCATTGTGCCACAAAACATTATGTAGTATTTCTTTTTGATTTTACTTTATTATTTTCCATTATAGCACGTATAAGGTGTCTGACTAGCGAAGCTTCTACCGGTCGCCACTAGGAGATCTTTGCATCGCCAATACATTCTACATTTACTCTTTATGCAAATTTGCACGCGTTTAGACAAATCTAAATCATTTTACTCGATGCTCATAATATCGGTACATATATAACATATATTTGAGTACCATATCTATATTAATAATAACAATAGCAATTATTACATTGTCAATATACATTATAAATTAAACGTATATTGATCATATATCAATTAAGTTGGTAATTGTTACTCTAATTAATACACAAAATGATTATGTATATATCAATGCAATGTGTATACATATAAAACACATGTAAAATGAAATAATTACAATTTTAGAGAAAATATTTGATTAAAAAATGTTTAAATCGTACTTAAGCCACGAGCATGCCGCAATGCACAACTTTTATTTTTGTTTATGATTTTTTATTTTTAATTTGTGATATACACAATAATGATTTTACATCGCACACGATATTATAAGGTAATTCTATTCGCACTTTTTATGATTTTATATAATTAATTTAATTGATCTCCCATATAGAAATAATATAAATCTAGAGCTCATCCTGTAAGATATTTTTAATGGAATATGTAACATTAGAGTTCTGGGTATGTGACATATATATATATATATATAGCGTTGTATAAAACACTGATTTAAGATAATGTTTATATATCTGCCGTTATTTGTTAAAGCGATGTGTTCAGTTTTGTAATATGCGATAAGCATTTTGGAAGAACCATCAAAGGTGGCCTGCAAGTTTGAGTCTGAATTCAATGCTATTACAGATCAATCACACATATAATAGCTTCATTTTTTAATGTTAATGAGATTAGTGAGATCCTTATTATACGCCTGTGTTATGAATTCGTATACTAATGTATGTAATTGTCCTGGAATGTAAGATCAATAAATAAAAAAATATAACTTATGATTTTTTTTTCTCTATAAACGTTAAAAAATATATTAATATATATATTTTAAAGAATTTATATTATTAACTCTCGGAAGTTGACAATGGGAGTTTATTGGAGACACTCAATCATATGTTTATTAAAGAATGTCAATTCATTTTCCTTATTCAGATTATTCTTATTAAAATATACTTAATATTCATTCTTCTTTGTACAAGTTACGTTATTTGAAACCTGAAAATTAATGTCATTTAATTAACGTAAATTAAATATAAGTTTTACAGAGATTATGTCCATTTTTACTAAGGTAGTTTGATTTTAATTTCGATTCAACAATTTTGCATCTTTTATTGGTTCTAAAAGTTAAAAAGAGATGTAGATTAAGTTGAACTGAGATTAACATTAATCTATATATATGTTGATAGAAACGGGCATCAGTCAGTAATTGTGTTACAAATTTTAATGTCAACTCTGATGTGTTAAAAGCATAGTTGTACTAAAAAATGATTGTATGTAAAGGGGGAGCGAACGCCTATTTTCCAAAATTGTGACAAGGAGAAATAATTAATATTCATCCAATATTAACTGTTCAACGAAATTATTTTGCGTTTCATTATATAGTATTTTCATTGCGTACAATTTTTTTTATATTATATCTGAAGATGGTTTAAATTTAAAGCCGAAACATGTAATATATTTGTTAATTCTATTAAATATTTATTTAGTATTTGGTAATACTTATTACAATTTTTTGGCACACATGATTTCGAACGTTTATTACTTTTATACTTTTATTTGCCTTTAATGTTACATAAATGTATTTGTAGAAATAATTAAATTATAAAAACCATTTTTACGATAAAAAGTTCAAGTTTTGTGTGAAGATACTTTTTTATCCTCTGACTGAAATCCTAAGCCCATGATTATTAAAAGTATATTTTAGGCCTAGTTTTATATTAATATATGTAAGATTTCAACAGAATGTATGTCAATTGATTTTTTGTGCTTTTTCTAATTCTAGAAATTAGAAAAAGATAATCAGCACATTAAACCGAATTAAAGTTAATTTTATATTAAAATCGAGTAATTCGTAAACGTAATTCATAACATTTTAAGAAAATCCTGCTTTTTCTCCATAAATCAGCATCTGAATTTGTAAATTAGTATATGCTTAGATGAGAAGAAGTTAATAGAACTTGATTAAAGTCACTCTTAGAAATTGTTCTGAGACTTTGAGACAATTGTGTCATTTTAATTTTGAATAACCTTCGATTTAAATAAAACGCGCCATTCTTCTGAGAAATCAATTCTTTTATAAAGTTATTGATGTTTTTCGTACATTATTACTTATTTTCGATCGTTAGTAATAATTAATATGCCTTACGTAGATAATAATATAGGAAATCGGTCTCTTAATTATTTTTTATCATAAGAAATGTTCTTAATAAACGATATGATAAAATCTATATTAATAAAACATATTGTCTCAAAAAAAAAAGATGCTGTATAAAAAGTGCCATCGTTCGATATCTTGAGAACAATAAACCCGAGAGGCACCTCGGTTGCACAAGGTTAATGCGTTTGACATTTCTATCAGCTGTCGCGCTCAATATGGCTGCTCGCGCAAGACGAGTTTTTTTCTGTAGCACTGGAGAGACGCCTACATTAGGACGAACGTAGTGAACGCGATCGAGGTGCTCCAAATTGCAAGTCGCAAGAGTATTTCGATTTCACAATGGCGGGTAACGATGTAGTATTGGAAGGATTTATATGCCCTATATGCATGACCGATTTCAAGACACCTAGTCATTTAACGAAGCACTTCGAGGAAGTTCATAATGATGATCCAGAGATTCTAAGATCTCTGAAAGGTATGCGTGAATGGTCTTTTTGCAATTTATTTGCCAAGAGAAAATTTATTAAATCTTAGTTCTACGGTTTATTAAGCTTATAAAATGTATATAAAACAAATGTCAAAATATATTGATTGAATTTTATTATAGATTTGTTTGGCAAAGCCAAGAAAAAGATCTTGAAGCAGGACGATATACCAGAAACATTTCCAAACACAATAAAACAAGACAAGAGACTGAGTCCTGAAATTAATTGGGGATCACAAGAAATAGGTAGCACAGTGATACTTTTGTCAGCCAAAGCTATCTTTGACAAGAAGAAATAATTTTTTTATTAAAGTTTCTAAACAATCAAATATAGATTTTTAGTTTTCTAAAATCAGTATTTAAAAATATTGCATGCAGCTAAATGCATGATTAAATTTTATGAAATGTCACATTTATTAATTTCTAAAAACTATTTCAGGTGCAATTACATCTCACACAAGGTATTTTAAGGATATAAGAAATACTCGATTAGAAAGATATGCATATGAAACAAATAAACTTCTTATAAGATTAGATAAATTATTAAATAATTTACCATCGGATCCTGTCGATAGAAAAAGTGAGAAAATATATAAATTACTTATTTATTGATATATCCTATGATATCTACTTATAAATTATACACTTGATGCGTAAATAAAAATTTTTATAGTTCACGAACGCTCCATTGTTCCATGGATTGATGAAAAAGATGTAAAATTGTGTCCTAATTGCGCTAAGAGCTTTCATTTGGCAAGGCGAAAACATCATTGTAGATTATGTGGGGCAGTTATGTGCCATAATTGTACGGTATTTTTGCCCCTGATCAATGCACGTATGTAAAACATTTAATATTATTTCGAGTGCTTTTTAATAAGAATACACAGATAAAATATAGCATAAAGAAAATTATTTAATTTCTGTTCAACGTTAGCAAACATGAATATAATGATTCACTGTAGCTGCTTTCCTTTTAGGAATAGTCGACACAAATATCGTTTTATTCCTTCTTGATATTCAATAAAACGATACTAATGTTGAGTGTATTTCCTAAAAAGGAAAGCAGTCTGTATTACATCGTATTACTTGTATCTTTTGATGGAAAGTACCTCTAATTTACAAAATAATTTGTACATATTCTTGAAATTATATTGAACAAAACTAATTTATCTTTTACAGGAAAAATGACTAGTCCCGTATCGATACAAGATGATTCTGCTTTGTCTCCTATATCAGAACGAACATTTCCCGAGAGAATAGCACGTGCGGGCATAGGTCTCTCAAAATTAGCACGATCACCTTCTAATGGTAGTTTAAATAGCGTTTTATCATTGGTCAATGATTCAACTAGTAGCGAACAGCATTTTAGAGTCTGTACTCACTGTATAAACTTGCTCGATGCAAGGGAAATGCAGAAAGCGAAGCAATTCGATAAACCAGTTGTTTGTGAATTTTATGAAAAAATGAAGGAGTACATGAGCGAAGCATCGCAGCATTTAGCAATGTACAACAAAATGTGGGAATCGCTAAAGTATGTGAACTTCCTATCTTATATTTAAGATAACGTCAATCTATCTGCACAATATAATACACTGCATTAAAAATTGTAATATACAGAGCAACTTGCTTGATGTGCAAGTTATCAATTATAAAATTAATATCGGAAAAACTTATATTAGAATGCTCTTAAAACTATTTTAGAGAAGGTGAGACTACGTATGGTTTAGAAGATGCACAGTCGTTACGAGTCAAATTGGCAAAATTGGGGGAAAATATAGATGCGACCAGCAAAAAAGTTTTAGTCCTTGGTGTGAAGAAAGATGCAGCGGATTCGCAGGAGGCATTGGGACAAGAATTGAGATTATATCAGATGGTTAGAACATCAGCAATGATATTTTTGAAAGAAGAGCTATTAACTCTGCAACCTTTGCCCTCGGTAGAGGAATATGCAGTTTTACAAATAGAACGTCAGAAAAGAATAGAAGCCCGAATAGCATATGAGCGGCAGTTGGAGGAAGACCAAGAGAAACCGAAGGAACAACGCAAGAAAGATACATGGAATTTGGACAGTAATCCATCTTTAAAAACCAGTCAGGTATATTAACAAATTAGAGCAGATAATTAAGGACGGCAATTTTCTAAAGCATAATCACATTTAATATAAAAGTCATAGAAATAATATCTAATCCATTTTTTATAGCTTTTTATTTTTTCATATGTATTATTATAATTAATGAAGATTATTCAAAATATAAGAATTTATTTATTTTTTTTAAATAATTGACTAGTTTTAAGATTTAGATTTTGTTGTCAGATTGTCGATTAATTATTTATTGATATGACTGATTCTCTGGATAATGACTTACGTTTCATTGTAAGTCTTCAAATTTTTAGGCACAAGTAATGGTGACTCAGTCTCAAGGCTGGGGTTCATCTCATATTACACCTATTATGTCTTCATCTATGGATCCAATAATCGAACAAATGAGCAATCTTCGCGCGTACATCAAACAGGCCCGTGCTGATTGCAAGTACGACGAGGTTGCAACATTAGAAAACAATCTTCGAGAACTTCAAAGTGCCTACTTTGCTATGAAACAAAGTAATAGCAATGATGGATAGATATATTAACAGCACATGTATTACTACTTCAACATGTAAAATGTTGAATTCTTCTATATATTGTATATATACATATATATAATTATTACTATTTGCAAAATATTTAATATATTCTCTTGAACCAAAATCTTAAAATGCATATTCTATAACGGATAAATACACAAGGATATAATCCCAAAAAATGTTTCAATATAAAGATTCCTTAATATAGTTTTTGTATTCAATATTACTTCTATTTACTTTTTCTATATTTATTCATAAATTAAGTTTTGATGCCTTTTGATCATATTTTTATTAAATGTGTATCTTGTAAAGGCATCGAATTTTTTTTATAATACTCGATTAATTCGTGTAAGTATTCATAAAAAATACAAGAAAATTGGCTCATTTGAAAGCAATTTTTGATAATTTATTAGTATAAGATAAACAAATACATTTTATTTGAGTGGAATAAATCGTGAAGAATGGGTAGCACCAATACCAGGTCTACCATGTTTAACAGGTTTGTATGTAACAGAAAATTCTCCAAGATAATGGCCGATCATTTCTGGTTTGATTTCAACTTGGTTAAAAGTTTTGCCATTGTACACACCAACAATTGAGCCAACCATTTCTGGAACGATAATCATGTTACGCAAATGTGTCTTCACAATTTCAGGTTTCTCGTTGGGTGGAGTCTCTTTCTTAGCCTTGCGCAGCTTCTTGACAAGAGCCATAGACTTTCTTTTCAGGCCATGAGAAAAGCGTCTACGTGCTCTAGCATGCATTAAATCCATCAGTTGTTCACTGGAAGAAATTGCTTATTGATAAAGCTCTTCAATCATGTTAACATTTAATTTATTTTTCTTAATTAAAAAAATATACTATAAACATAAATTATTAGTTTGAAGTTAAACAAATATTAAGATTATTAGAAGCAATCTCGAACATATACTGTAATACTCTGTTAGGTTAAGTAATTGTTATATAGATTAGGTTAGACTTCAAAAAATTAATATTACTTTGGCATATCCAGGAGTTGATCAAGATCGACCCCTCGGAAAGTGAATTTCCTAAAGGTCCTCTTCTTCTTCTGAGTTTCATCTGCCTATAAAAAAATACATAAAAAATAAATGCGCATTCGTTAGATGCATAACAAATGTATACAGAAATATATGGGGGGGGTACATCATATTATTTTAACGATATACTTTGACGATTAAGTAAAATGTATAATTCATGTAAATACACTTTGTATAACGGATGTGTGAGAATTTTGTGGATTTAATATTAAATTTCGAAAACTCACCTCTGCCATGTTCGCGATTCTTACGTCAAGGAACCTAAAAGAGAAATGAACACATTCTTTCAGCGACAATTTCCATGCGCATGCGTAATCACGTGACTATTTTGGATAGGTTATATCATCGATGAGACACATTAAAGATTGTCAACCTACAACAAATTATTGTAATTATTAATAGAATTCCAAGAGCTCGAGATAATTAGAATAATTACAGGTGCAGTTTGCTTGTTACTATAAATACTTTAAAGCTTTTGTAGCATCAAATGGATTTTAATTTTAATATAAAAATTTTTATTGATGATACTGAAGAATTTCTAGCTATCAATCAATATTAATAAACTTATACTTGCTATAATAGAAAATAATAAAATTAATTAAAAAAAAAAATACTACATATATTGTTATGTGGCACAGTGCCATAATTATAAAAAGAAAAGGATCAGTTTTCATCACTTTCCAAAAGATGACAAACTCATTTTTGGAAAGTGATAAAAACTGATCTTCTTCTTTTTATGGCACTGTGCCACACAGTGTCATAGAACAATATGTAGTATTTCTTTTTAAGTTTATTTTATTATTTTTATTCAATGCGTCTGACTAGCGAGGCTTCTACTGATCGCCACTAGGAGCGCCACAGAAAAATCTTTGCATCGCCAATTATCGACTGGATATAAATTTTTCAATTATCAACATCTCTTCAGTATTCAAATTTAATACTATTTGTTTTAACAATATTTTTATTCGTTTAATAATATTTTGTTCATGAGGAATATTTGTATAGTTTTTATACGATTGAAATGCGCAATCTATGTTTATTAAAATCTATGGACCGGATTGTGTGAGAATTGAGATAGTGACTGTCATCAGCGCCACGCGGACATTAGGCGATTCGATAACCGAGAATACTACACGTAAAGGAAGATGGTGAAGATGGTCGAGGATTACGTTTGTGTTTGTTCTATTACTATTCTCTTTATCTCCCTCTAATCGAGGTTTTTTATATTTTATATAAGAATGCGAATTCAGTATTATAAATATAAACACTCTGACATTTAATCACTTAGTATATAATTGAACAAAATAAGTGGTAAGTATATATTGGATCGTATAAAAATATGTTTCAAAAAGTTATAAAAATCCAACAAATAAGCAGAGTTTATTTTTTGACGGAGTTGTATTTTTATTATTTGTATATTATTAAAAACAAATTTAATGTTCACCAAAGTGTTTTGTACACAGAATGATCATTGATGTCGTCGAGTTTTCTAACACAATCGCTCACCACTGAAGTATTCTTCAGAAATGTCAATGGGATACAGTTAACGTTGGAAGAAAAAACAAACTTGAACCTGTCCAATACCAATATTATAAACTTTGTGTTGCGAAGCGAAAAACATTTTAATATAAATTTATGTTTAATGTTAGTCTGTGCAATTCTTTTTATATGGTTTATATCAGGAGTTTCAATTTCTTTCATCATATCAGCATATTTTTTGTTACTGCAATGTAAATCATTCATCACTTCTATCAAACAGGGTAAATTTGAATTCATAATGCAAAGTCAAGTTTCTAACAGAAATTATCTTGTAAGATAAATAGATTGTATTTGTTAATATATACATTGCGTTTTATAGATACATTGCTGGTTATTGAATCAGTAGGTGTACATATCGAAAATAAAAGAGGATTTGGCATATTTACATCAATAGAATTCTTACCATGGGATACAATAGAAGATATATTCATCAATGAAGTCATAAAAGGAGTAAGTTTACATATACATATTTACATTTATATTAGGAAAAATAAACCAAAACCAACTTTTAAATGATTTTAGCAAAGGGTGCTTTATTGTCTTACATTTATTGTAAAGGAATCAGTTGGTAGACAGAATTCCAGAAGATTAGTTCCACTGTTTCAAGATCTATTACCCGAAAGGAAATGCCTGGAATATATATACGAACCCTTAGCCAATTTGATTGGCTTGACCAAGAGAAAGAGTCTCTGCTAACTATTCCTGGTGCTTATTGGCTGTGTCATAAAAAAAATATATACAAGTTCATCTTTAGATATCATCGTACAGTAAAGTAAGACATTAGAATTATCTTGTTAATTAAAAGAAAATTTATTTACACGTATTTTTAGAAATACCGTACCATTTTCATACGGACGAGAACTATTAAAAATTATACGAAAAATTATAAAATGTCATCCAACGCAAGGTCAACAATTTGGCACGCAACACCTTCTTGTTACTTACAGTATCCTTTTCTTATTCTTTTCTTGAGAGAATAAATCAGTTTTTTTTAAATTCCTTTACTCTAATATAATTAAAAAATACAGATTGTACATCTTGGACTCGACAAGACAAAATGTTTGCAATAATGAAATTTCAGCAACGAACTAATGCTGCAACATTTTCACATGCATTCGTATTAACTATAAGAATCTTCCCTTCACTGGAACACTCATTATTTGATTTAAAATATCCCATTGTCAAAGAAGCTGATGCAGGTACTACATTTAAAGATTTGAATATTTCATTAGATACTGAAGAGAAAATTAGTAATGTGATATCTGCCACTGATAAAGAATCTCCAAGAAAAGGTACAACATGTCATACTAAAGAAATATGTGCAAAATATGCTATTGAGGATATAATGTTAAGTAAAGCATTGGAAACAAAAATCAATTCTTTCCAAGATAACATAATGGAGTCTGCGTCTTTGCACGAGTCTGCGTCTTTGCACGAGAATCTAGATAAAAGAATTGTAAATGCCACAATTACAACTGAAATGCAGCATTTTGTTGATAAACATAATAAAGAATTTCATAATGACATTGAAAACGATAAATATATAGAACATAATACTGAAGAATGTGAAAAAAATATTGAACAATATTCTGTTGATTGCATTCAAGAAGAATCTTTAAAGACAAACAAAACAGATAAAATTGAAAAAACGCAGAAAATGAAAGAAGATGAAAAAACAGAATTGACAGTAGCACAAAAGCAAAATCAACAAATACAAAATGTTCAGACATGTAAAATATCTTCCTCATTAAAATCTCTTACAGGAATGATAACAGGTAGCAACAATGAATGCTCGTTAAATAAATTCAATGTTGGAAAATCAATAGAAAAAGATGATAATTGTACCATCAACAATAAAGACAATTCAAATAATAATAAAAAAACGATCAGTGGAAATATAGATTCTACCAATGTATCACATCAATATTTTATTGAGAATCAGATAGAGAACTTAATTATTGATCAGCCGATACAAAAGAATTTGCAGACCGAGATAAAGAATATAGACAAAAATTGTGTTCCAAAAATGATTGAAGAAATTGACAAATCTGTACGTATTAACCAAGAAGATTATCATAATGAGACAAACTTAGAATTCCAAAAAAATAATAGACAACATACTAAAATTTCAATAGATATTGACGATAAACAGTCGGAAAGTCATATGCATAGTAAGTCCTACAAAGCTCGTAAACAAAGAAGTAGGGAATCCGAGAAAAAAACCATACCTGACAAAATTTTGCGCTCTTCTAATATTACCGATTTAGTAATGGAAGGTTTAATGTTTACTATACGACAAGATCAGGATAGTGTAGCCGTCATTGAACAAAAGACTAAATTAGAAATAGACGAGGTCCTAGAAAATTCAGAGAAAGTTGAAACAAAAGCTGGGGAAAAATGTTTATTAAATTCGAGCTTACTAAGGTTGGAGAATTTAGTGACCATGATTGACTCTCCGCGCAATAAAAACGAAAAGCATAAAAATCACCACGCAATCAGCAATAGTGTAAATCTGTTGTCTTTTAATGTTCTTCCTAATGATACTGTATATAATGTAAATATTAATGAGGTAGATACAGGAATAAATGAATCAAACATTTCTAATTATGATAGACATAACGCAATGAAGCATTTAAATCTGTACCATTCACGGTGGCAACATCAACGCGTTTCCTCTAAGATTAATAATAATTGTTCAGCAAGTGGAATCTCAACGGAGAAACAGGAACAATTAATAGAATGGCAGGGTAGTGATGATGAGCAAAATAAAAAGTATAAAAATGGCACTGATGTTAGAAAACGAGAACATTATTCTTGGGGTAGTATTCCTGAAATTTCGCCATCTAAGAAAATAAATGTAGGATTGCAAAATACAGCATCACTGAGTAATAAAAATATTGAAGAGATAGATAAACATGATATATCGACGGAAGAACATTGTAGTTCTTCATTACCAAATCATTCATTAAGTAAGATGTCCACAAAAACAGTTTCTGTACTTTCTGAGGAATCTAATTCGATTGAATTATCTCGCCGTGAGGCAAATGTTCCAAGAATAGTTTCGAACGAGTCTATTACTATTGAAGAAATGCCACCAGCCTTGCAGAAGATTTTGCGACACAAATTCGAAGCACGCCGGTTTTCTTCAATGACTAGCAGTGGAATGTTGCAACGGAATAAACAGAAAATGCAATCTATGGCATTAACAGAGGACACAATTTCCAAAGTGGATATCTTGGAAGATAAATATACAGATTCCAACATAGCAAATATTACAACTAGTTCAGAAAAAATTAATAATGATAAAACTTGTGCAATGATCAATAAGGAGATGAATAGAGATACACATATGAAGAATTCGAAAGGAAAGATCGAGTCTCATCGTACTTTAAGAAGTTCATCATCAAAGCATGATTCACCAAGAAAATTACAGGATATCACAGAAGAATTTTATCATGATTTGATGCATGTACACAACAAAGACAATGCCATTCGACAGAGATGTCTCAGGCAAAAACAAAAATCCTTGAACGATCTCAATGGCATCAAAAGTGGTAAAGTACGTGTAGAAATGTTGAAGTTTATTCAGGACATTACGGAAGGTGCTAGAGTGGTGGTGAAACGGCTAAATATAGATAATAAATCTAATTAGTGAAAAATTTTAATTTAATTTAACAATGTGTACGCTTATTAAAAATTTATTGCGAATTTATAAGAAAATAATTTTATCATATTTACACACTCATGTATACTTTATTGTATATAATATAATATTATATAAATATATATTGTTCTTTGTAACTGCATTGAATTACACATTGCCATATATAAAGCTTCTTTTACTTTCGCCATATTATAAATATATTTATATATATAGCTAAATTTTAATGTATATTAACATATATTTTATTTTAAGTACAATTAAGCAATATAGTTCAGTTGCAAAGAACAGACGAGTCATTCGTAAAGCATGATGAATTATAAATAAGATTATGACTTTAGATTGTCAACCTCTTTACTTTTATTCTGATTCTAATATAATTCATTAAATATACACCATTGTCACATTAATATAAACTGTATATTCTTATTAAAAACACTTTTGAATTTTTATTTTTTCAAAAAGTTAATAGTTAGAAAAATATTTTCTTTCGAATTTTTATTTATTCTTATATTTTTATTAATAAAAGAAAAAGTATTTTATTTTCTTGTAAATTTTAATATTTGATTAAAAAGAATTTATATACTTATACATATATTGATCTATTTATTAGATTTACTTGCAAAATTTACGAGCAGATCTAATCATAGAATGATTCTGTGATTGACGATACTCTCACTGCATAGGACATAAAGCCTGATTTACAATTGCGTAAACGTGTAGTTGTAAGAATCTTCCAATCACAGTTGGATATTCTCCTCGTATTCAAGCTGCGTTTAGGAATCACACCTAGGTAATTCTAGGCTATAGTTTACGTTACGTATATTATAGTAAAAATGCACCCAAGAGTTACCTAGGTGTAAAAAGTCTTGTGTCCACGATGCTAGAAATCGGTCCGAGATCTCGGATGAAGAAAGAATTAACAAATCACATTTGAACATTTTGGTCACATGACCAATGTAATTGGTTAATTTTCCTTCATCCGAGATCTCGGACCGATTTCTAGTAAATTCCTGAACGCAGCCCAAGTAACTCAATCCTTTATCCCTGCTTTATCCTTAGAACGACTATTTTGAACATTTTGAATAATTTGAATGCCATCTATAGTTCATTATATGCTCGTACACCTCGACCATGAGTATACCTATTCGAAAATTGACAGCGGGAAAAGTGTCGGTACATACATGCTTGTTTGGAGCAAACGTGCAAGAACGACCATTTTACAAAATCAGTATTATTCGTTATCGTTTAGTGTAATATGGATAATGATAGCATAAATAGTATCATCGACAGTATTGTAAGTATATTAAACTGGTTGAATTTTTAAGAAATTCAATTGTTCGAGGATGTATGTTGGAAATGTGAGGTTAGGTTAGATTATGACATTAAATTAAGCCTATGTATAAAAAAAAAACCACTTTTCTTGATATTTGAAAAAGGTTCTTCTTGATCTGAATTGTATCGAAGATGTATGAAAATTTGTTAAGGCATTTGCCTTAGAAATTTTAAATGACCGGAAAACTTTACGCATCATGCCGCATGCCGGTAGTAAGATCGTTCCGTTTTCCTGTAGATTTGCGTTTTATAATTGTGTATTTTTTATCTTTTCTCTTTTTTCTCTTCAATATGTGTCTGATTATATTGAACATTAGATCTGTTTTTGTAGTTAGTATAATTTTCTGTTGACAAAGTGAAATAGATATATATGTATAATGAAAATAAGGAGCGAAGTTAGTACAATCCAGTGTAGAAAAACGAATAAATTTTTTATCTTATTTGGAGTGCAATGTAGTTCAGCAGAAAAGATTGAGTCTTGAAAAAAATTAATAGCGGTTACATGATTATTAGACATATTTTTTGTTTTACAACATACAATTATATTTTTTAAATTCTAAAACATTTAAATATATATACCGTAAAATTTAATTCTTAAAAGATAAGCAAATTTATTTGACATATGAAATTTAAAGTGCATTTTTAAAATCATTTTTATAATATATTTTATATTTTACAAAGTAAAAGGTCTAGCATTTGCCACGCATTGGATGGAGTTTGTGAAAGTTATATATATTTTAAGATATAAAATACTATATAATTATAAACGTTTTGACTCTAAATTTAGTCATCCTCAGTATATAAAAAATTAATAATGTTAAAACGAAAAAAATTATAAGAATTTAAATAATGCAAATAATGTGTACAAAATGTTCATCTTTACAATTGTCGATTACGTATTACGCATGTCAAATTTTTCCTAATTATAAAATTCTATGATCTATTAATTTACAGTCGCATGAATCTTATGACTCTCTTTTATATTTTACATATATATTTCATACATTTTGTTTTATTACTTGTTTTAACAAAGTATATACTACAAATAAATTCAAAATTCAATATTGTACAAACATTTGTTTTAGGATTGTGCACCGTTATTTTAACTTTAAGTGAGGCTTAATAAAACTCTATTTAATATATTTTTTCTGTCTTTGTCAATATTTTTTAATCATTTGAGAGATATGATTTAATAAAAAAAAATTATTTTTAGGAACATGATTATAAGGTAAAGAAAACGAAAGAATCAATGTTGTTATTGAAACAGAAAATGTGCAAGACGGAGTAAGTCTTTCTTAAGTGTTTCTATATATTTTTTTTAATATATTAATTTTTTATTAATTTAATTTTAATATGCAATCAATATCATGGAGATATTAATTTAATGCAATTTTTATCTGTTTCAGTGTTTTAATTAAGCAGTATACTGAAAATATGAGAGAAGTTGAAAATTTAAAGTCAGATTTAAAAATTGCAAAAAGAGATGCCAAATGCTTGATATCTGATTATTCGACTGCCAAGGATGAGATAAGGGAGTTAAAAAATGTAAATAAATAATTCTATTCTAGATTAATTTATTATTATCATACTCTTAAAGTATTTATAAAATAATTTAGCACTAGCTTTCTGTAAAAGAAATTTAACTTTTCAAACTAATATTTAGAAATATGCAAAATTATGAAACGTTGGTATTTCTTAAATATTGTCTTAAATATGTGGCATATGTATATATATATATATAAATTTTTATTTAAAATTTGAATTCCAATTTTGATGTGAGACAATGTGTCACTAATGATTATTTGATTTAATTCAGAAATCTTATGATATTGTCAAATTACGTTAATAAAATTCATTGTGCTTTTTCATAGAACAACGAGTATACATAGAGCTACATAAGTATTAAAAAAAAAACAGAATTATAGTTAACATACTTGATTCTATCAAGATAAAATCAAAGAGTAATAACTTTCCAGATAGTCAAAGATAGTAAACCAAGACCTGCTAATAGCATATATTGCAAACTGCGTTGCATTTTATATTAGTAGAACTGTAACCGTTGATGTAGATTTCAGTTTACTGTTTTTAAATATTGGTAGAAATGTATCAAGAAAATGTGTGTGCTGATCCTACATTATGACATCATAATGGCAAGATACGCTTCATTTTTGCTATATTTCTGTGTTTTTATATTTTGGCTGCCAAGTCGTAAGGGCAAGCTTAAAGAGAAGAGAGGACATAGTGGATAATAATCTATTCTAAAATCATAATCAAATTGCTAATAACTGCTAGCATATTACTGACATTTTACTATCTAGATTATTAAGAGATAACATTTACAAAGTTGTGTTTGGAATATTATAGATAGATAATACTTTTTTTATGAATATTTACTTTGCATGAATAAGCAAGTTTTGATTACAATTGACTTAAAAAAGTTATTTCATTTGTATTAGCATGTTAACAGACATGCTTTTTTATTTTATTTGAAAAATATTTTATATCATTGGTATGTGTTGTCAAGTTTAAGTTTATGTACAATACAAAATTTACAGTGCATAGATGTATGTATTTTTGTGTGTAGTATATAATTATTTATTAGGTTTTATTTTTAAATTCTTTTTAAAAAAATATTGGCTATAATATAATAACTAGAGGTTGAAAATATGAATATTATATCTCAATGAATAATTGTACAATTAATTTTATTTTATATATGTACACTAGTTTGCTTATATTGATATGCATATTCTCGATTAGATTTTTTGTACGAGTCGTTCTTTATTTTAATTATTATTTTATACATTAACAATGTTTTTAAAATTTCAGAAAATGGTAGAATCTGAGCAAAGTAATGAAAAATTAATGAAGAAGATAAGTGAATATGATATAAAAATAGCTGCAGATAAACAGAGTATACAACAATTAACATGTAAAATAAAAGAGTTGGAAGAAGAACAGTCGGGTAAAGTTATGGAACATAACTTGGAAAAATCATTTTTTGAAGGTAGCAATAAATTAATTGTCTCTTTTATATTGTGTTATTTTTGTTATTCCTATTATTTCTGTTATTTCTTATGCATTATTTGATATATGCAAAAGATTAAATTTATTCATTTACGTAAAAAATTTACGTTTAAATTTACGTGCAAAATTTATTCTTTGTTTCTAGACAAAATTAAAGAATTGGAACATGAATTAAAAACGTTAAAGAAGGACGATATACAAACTGTAACAAAAAAAGGGAGTAAAAAGAAGGAGAAAAAGATCATTTCTATAGATTTTGATACAGTTACACCAAATATAAGTAAGAAAGAGTACAAAATTTAAAGTAAATTTTTTTTTTATTATTATGTGCTTATTATGTGAATTATTTATAGGTACAAAATCTACTTCAGATATTGGTATTAATGTTTCATTGTGTGATATTGAATCAAATGTGAAATCCAAAGTACAAGACAAATGTATTATGACTGACGAATTTTACCACACGAAAAATGATCCACATCCATTGTTTTGTGCAAAATGTGAAACTCATTTGCCCCCAGAATTGACTCCTGAAAAAATATATAAAGCTATGATCACATATCCAAAGTTAATTGAGAAAGATTTGCCTCCTTCACCGAAAAAGATTTATTCACCACCTTGTTCATTACCTAGTAAGTAACAGTAATAAATTAATACAATATCATATGTGTTAATCATATTATAAATCATATGTACGTTTTTTATAACTTGGTTTTATAACTTGTAACTTTATTATTGGACACGTTACATATTTTTATTTTACAATTTATAAGGTAAAAAACTTTTTATATTTACATTTTGTTTTAAATTTAAGATACAGTTAATTTTTTTGTTTTTTCTATTAGATTAATTATGCTAACGACACCATTATTGACTAAAAATTACATATTATTTAGAAGAATTTCAAGAAGCGATTAATTGTATTTTTTGCGTTGTTGCTTATATATGTCTTTCAAAATAATTTTTTTTTTTGTATAATTTTTGTACATTGAAAATGACCCGTTCGGAGTCGAAACGTTTGTATGATGTTTGATTTTTTGAATTAAATAGTTCGTTAATTTACGTGGCTCTTTGCCCTTTTTATATCGTTTTATACATCTAGAGCCTTATTATTACTTACATATTATAATTCTTTTATTGTATACATCAAATATCTATAATAATCTATATTACATTATATTATTATATTTGTTTTTTACATCCATTTTTAATTTTTAGGTACCTATCCGGATTTTACAAATAGAAATGAAGACTCTCTCCCTAAAATATCACCTATACCTCATCTACGTTCTTATAGCCCGTGTAGTGATTCAATATCAGGCAATCTAAAATCACAATCGGAACGGTCATCCGCAATAACGCAAATCTGCGAAAATATTGAATTAAGAAATACGGATACTTCACATATGCCACTTGTAGCCAATTTGCCCAATAACTTCAATTCAATTCCTTTGTCTCAAAATAGGAACTGTGCAAGGGAGCATTTTCACTCTGATAATTTACTAATTAAACACTCTATGTCTATTAAAAAAATGAAAAGAAAAATTCGATCATTAAAAAGTAAAATGAAAACATTTCAAAGACTGACGGAAAAAGTAGATACTAATTCTCGTTGTTGTGTTACGAATCATAAGGATGATATTTCGTTAAATTCGAATCTAATTTCTTTAATCTGTAAAGGTATGGCAAAATATTTTAATGAGGAAAATGGAGTATGTTCTAAACATGAGCGAGATAATGATTCGGAAAAATGTACTTGTTGCATACAAAAGATACAGCTAGAAAGGAGACAGCAATCGAACAAATGTAATGCTTACGAAAGCATGTATTCGAAAAATGAAGATTTAGATGAAAAAGATCAAGTACGAAATGTATGTTGTGATAAAACCGAAAATGCTATGAAGACTACTGATATTTTACAATTTAATCATATATCTAAGAATATACTGTCGAGTGTACATAAAAATAATTTATATTCCAATATAAATATATCCAGCACATCTCTCAATGATATTGATGAAACCGACAAAGAAGAGTTTCTTCATAAGCAAAATACATTGCATTCAGCAGAAGTGGCACCTGTTGAACATAGTTTAACAATGTCACGTTTAGATGTCGACAAGTTAAGCAATGGTATCTTGAACAAAGATGTAGATACTAACTATGTGGGTAATGAAACTGAGACTGGAGTAATGTCCTTATCTAACAATAAAAAAATTTTAGATCATACTGATGGCAAAATTGTCGACATTAATGCACAGAAAAATAAAATAAAAAGAAAAGCTCAAATTATACATAAAGATAAGTCTAGCGAAATATATGTAAATGATAATGTTGGCGATCGTTTATTAAAGAATCTCCGGAATTTAAAGAGAAAGAAACAACCAATTTCACGCATAAATAAGCAAGATAATATTGAACCATATTCAAATCGTAATTCTGATTGTATTGAATTAGCAAAAAAACCGCGAATTGAAAACGAAGAAGAGATTAATAATAGTTCACACACATTAAACTATATTAAAAATTTTAAAAGAAATTTAGATACACAAATAGAGTCTATAAATAAACAAATAGACGATAAATTATGCTCTAATCATTATGAACCGACGAAAAAATTACGAATCGCACATACTCCAAAAACACCAGTTCATCAATTGAGCATTAATAGAGATGATTCTACACATTGTATGGTAAGAAATATAGCTACTTTTGCTACTTTAGTGAATCGACAAAAAAATGTAAATGAACAATTAAATACTCATAAAGATAATTTATTAATTGAAAACAAGAATCCTACAACGAATAAGAAATGTGATGAGAAAAACATAGTCAAATCTATCGAAACAAATAGTATTGACAAAAGACCTGTAAACGAAAAAGATTTAGATTTAACGAATGCTGAAAATTCTCTTCAAAATAATGATATCACTCCATCTGCTATTAATATTCAATATGTTTCTAAACTTGCGAAATGTGATGACGTCTCGATTGAAAATACAATCAACAACAGTATCCGAATGAATAGAGTAATAGGAGAGACTTTGAACAATAGTGACGAGTCAAATGTACATAATGACATTGTAAACGATACAGCGAATAATTTAGAACTTGAGAAACCAATTTTATTGAGAACACGTATTATTACCCGCTCTGTATATAAAGATTTGAAACATGACAAAGTTAATGAAGCATTGGATAGAAAAGAGATGTCTCCAACCGCTGAATTGGAATATGCTTCTGAGGTATTTGGAGATAAGAATCACAACGATCACAGTATACCAAAGAATGCGATTTCGAATGATAAATCGTCGGTTCTATCTGATCAATCAAATGTGTTGGAAGCAACGCGAAGTGAAAATCACAATAATAGCGATATATCTGGCGGAACTATTGCAGTTTCACATTCATCGTCACAATATTGTAACAGTAATGTACCTAACGAAACTATATGTTTACCTGAAGGTATAAGTTCATCTAAAGATATAGGTTCATCTGAAGGTATAGGTTCACCTGAAGGTATAGGTTCACCTGAAGGTATAGGTTCACCTGAAGGTATAGGTTCACCTGAAGGTATAGGTTCACCTGAAGGTATAGGTTCACCTGAAGGTATAGGTTCACATGAAATCATAGGTTCGCCTGAAGGTATACGTTCACCATCACCGGAAGATAGTGGTGTCATTTTTGAAAATTGTATAAATGACAATAACATGAAAGAGTCTGTTAATGAAATGAAAAATGCAAGAAACATACAAGAAGAAACGTATGTTAATAATAAAGTAATTAAGATGCAAGCCATTGAAACTCAAAATAGAAATCTAGTCATGAGTCAACGAGATAAAAGAATGGAACTTATCTTTGTTCCTCATAATTTCGAGGAATCTCAGGCACCAATGTCACAATTATATAAATATATTTACAAAAAGAAATGTACCAAAAATAAATTATCACGTAAAGAAATAGAATACGCTTGTAAAATAACAGGTATTTAACAAAAATATGATTTATATAAATATAAAATAACTTTTCCAAATGAACACAAAGAATTATATTTATATCTAACAGTTTATATTCCAGGTTCAGACTCTAGATTTTAATACATATCAATAATTAATACAAACATGAATAAAATTTATGGGTGACTAGTAAAGAGACGATTTCTTTTTAAGGGGAGATTCTTGAGATAATTTTAAGATGAAAATTCTAATACCAAAATGTTGAGGCTATAATAACTTTTGAATTATAAGCGTTTAAAATTAACGAATCATATCGTCTAAAGTTGGCGCGCTCAGGAGCGGCACAACGCAAAATACTAAACGCGAAAGCTGACTCTTATTGGAAGTTGTTTTGCATATCTGCTCATAATTTCACAACTTTCTTTACGTGTGAAAGATGTACAAATAATTATAATTGTTTATAATTAATGATTTTATAATATTCATACAAGTTCCTTGTTCCTTCTTTATTATTTTAATAAAGATTATTTTAATAAAATATTTAAAGTGTATTTGAATAATGCATTTATATTAAGAAATATCAATAGAATAAAATCTTATATTCATATATGTAATCTCATAAAATCAATATTGACAAAAGAACTGATAAGTTTTCGCGTTTAGTACTTTGCGTTATGCCGTTCCTGAGCGTGCCAACTTTAGACGATATGATTCGTTAATTTTAAACGCTTATAATTCAAAAGTTATTATAGCCTCAACATTTTGGTATTAGAATTTTTGTCTTAAAATTATCTCAAGAATCTCCCCTTAAAAGGAAATCGTCTCTTTACTGGACACCCTGTATATATATATATGAAAGTATTAAAATATATTTTTTCTTAAACAAGTTTACAAAAATTCTTAGTTTCAAATGCTTTCTCTTAAAATATAATGTCCTTTAATGATTATTTAATTCTGTATATGTGTTTTAGACAAATTTGTAAAGAAGCAACTGCAACGACTTATGAACAGTGATTGGAAAGATTCTACATATGAGTTTATACATGACGATATAAAAGCAAAATTGGAAAATACTTGTGGACCTCGTATCATAGCCAAGTCAGTATGACATTTTGTAATTTTTAAATGTGTAAATATGTCAAATTAAGTTACATATATTAAAATTAAAGGTATTATTTAATTATATTAATAGAGCACTAGAGTTAGCGAAGAGTTAGTTCCCAAAGAACAGCAATTCAACATTTACCTTGTTTACCTACAAAAACATTAAAGCATAAAAAAAATTAAAGCATTAATTAAAATGAAACAATGTGTATACTACAAAATTAAACGTTTGCATGTTAAATGAATAAAAAGAGGGAAATAATATTTCTTCTGCGTCCATTTTAGATGCATAGTGGAGTTTATAATAGAGGAAGTTGATCATACAGAAGCTTTAGATAAATCATTTACTCCTCCAGCACCACTGATGACGAAATTTGAACAGAAGATAATAACGTTATTATTCGATTTGGAAGTATCGAAGCCAATGGTGATTTATTTCGTACAAGCAGCCATCGAATTTCATATGTTTAGACTTAATAGTGATGTGAAGGTATATTTAATTTGCCTATAATAGAATATAACAATTTGAAGCATGTTGTTATAATATAGCAACACTTTTCAGTGTCAAATTATTAACCCTTTTACATACGTAGGATCCAATTGATTCGCTCACACGGATATATGTTGTCCTGTCACGTATTCAGAAGGACAGAGAAAAAATACGCATGATGTGTTGCAGTGCTCTCTATTGCATGAATCTTAAATCAATAGCCGTTTTAAATACAACATTAATGTGCTGGTCTGAAGTTCTTCCGAATGCCGAGACTAACAAAGGTATCGTATACGTTACAATGCAAGATAAACTAGTTTGTTAAGTAAAACAACAATAAATTCGATTCATTGACACAATAATGAATGGCTTCAACTTTAATCATTGAGATCGTGCACAAGATTGCATCATGTTCATAAATGTATATTGTTTAATTCCAGAAATATTATCAAAATGCATAGCCTTTCTTATCAGCTCATTACAAATTGGCACTGATAAGGAGAGAATATTAAAGAAATTAATTCATTTAAAATCATTGGTATCGAGATGTCATAATTATACTAAAGAAACAATAAATGATCTTGTTAAAGAACTTATGACTGCTCTTAAAGGTAAAAATATTATTATCCGCATCATGTTTTTTTTCTACGAATTATATTAATTAAGTGTAAACTATACTTGTAGCTAAACGGATTGACGGTTTGAATACAGCCATTATACTTATTGCAAAACGAGAAAAGGCACAATGGACATATAAAAATATTATTGAATCTGTTTTACTACCAATGATTATAAACAACCAGCATCCCTGCATATATAGTGCATTTTCTTTACTCGGTAAGTTAATTTTTTTTAATTGCATTATATTTTGAACGAAAGAATACTAATATATTATGCTCTTACAGGAAGGCTTTTGCGCGCATTCCCATTACAAGATAAAGACGTGCATGAAATTTCTCAACAGCTCTGTGTCCTCATCGAATCTGGCCAAGGTAGTATATTCGTTTTGTGTGTATGAAAAGCTAATTTTCAATATACCAATAATAGATATTTTGATAACACTATACATATATAACCTGATTATTTTTTAAACAGGTTCACACGATCAACAAGAAGGCATAATATCTGCGTTGCTCAGCCTTTCCAGACACAAATTCGACGATATATCGTGGCCTATAATAAAATGGATGCCGAGTAAATCTTTAAGACCGATTGTTGACACACAATTGCAGACGTTCCTACATACACGTACTTCAAATTTTTGGAAAGAATATTTACGGAAAAAAAATATTAAACTTATCCGAAGTAAAGCGTGAGACGTTGATTAAATTAAGTACGTGTAATTTGTCATTCAATTATTGTAATCTACTAATAACTTACATAACGTTTAAATTTGAGATACATCCAATTATTTAGTTTTAGTGAAAAAAAATTGTAGTACTTATAGTTTGTATGATGATATAATCTGAATATAACTTTATTTTGCTGTTGTTACTTTGCTTGCTATGTCTATCTGACATAATTTTTATTTAATTTTTTTATTAATTCACATATTAGCGTATGTACATATATTAAAATGTGGATTAACTTTTGATTCTTAGACTCTATATAATTTTGCATATTGTTAAAAATCTTTTTTTTTAGTTCTCATGTTATACATATATAGAAGAGAAAATTACATTTTATTTTATTATGTAATATTAAAATATTTTCTTGATTTAGAACAAATTGATTTGTTTTGGTAAAAAAAATATAAAATTATGCTGCTTAAATCGCTTATTATTTTGTACGCAATTCCCCTGCCAAATATCTAAAAAAAATAATTGTTTTCTGATTTTAAGATTCGAAAGGCTTACAAATAATAATTTATATATTGTGTGGCCAAGTTAAATATTGTAATAATTTAAAGAGATCCTGAATAAAAACATACTTAAAAACAATTAAGTCATGATAAAGAATTATAAATAATTATCTTGTAGATATCAATGTTTATTGTTGGATTTTTGACCAAAATTTGATACGTTTTGTACTCCTTAAATACAATGTAGTTATCCAGTGAAATAAAATGAGATTTGTACGATTATAAACACTTCCATCTATTTCATGAGCAACACAGAATTAAATTTCATTTTTGAAATAATATTGTAGAACAAATATTAACAGTAAATCGTTTCAATTAATATTATTTTACTCTTTGTAATATTATTCAAAATATATATCACAAAAATGCCGCTGGATATGTGTGTATATATATATATATATATTCATTTTATTTTTTATTAATATTCTAACACACACATATATACATATATATATTATATATATGTTAGAATATTAATAAAAAATAAAATATAATAAAATGAATAAATCGTTTCAAACATTGATATTTACGCTGCTTAAAAATTTCTAAACAAGAGAGATTTTATAGTTTTTATTTTAATATAATGATAAAAGTAATTATAGTAGCAATAATAATATATAATAATAATAATAATAGATAATATTTAACATATCGTAAGTTTTCATTCACAGAGCACGCTAAGTTGGTACATGTACAAGGTTTCTTTACAAAAATAATAACAATGTTTTGATGCAACATTGCCAATCGATAATGTCTCTTTACTTTTTTGTTAAAATGTCGTTTAGTAACTTTCAGATCAATTCTTAGCTGTTTCCCAATTAATTGATATCTTTGGTATGTTAATGTCTGGTAGCATATGGAAGTTTGATATATCGGATGAAAATATCCATTATTATCCATCATAAAATCCACAAGAACGAGTACAAGGATTATCATTTCTAAGAACCAGCCATCGGAGAGTAATGCGGAATAATAATTAGAATCTATCTTTTCTTTTAGGAAATTCACGAATTTTGAATAAGATAGTATCATCTAATAAAATAAAGAATTAATGATCGTAAGCATCGATCAATATCATTGCCTTAATATTGACTAATCGTTATAACTAATTTATCAATGAGAGATATCACACAATACTATTGCAAGTTAAGAATGAGAGTTTTGTAAAATATTATTTATTCTTTATTTTGATTCTTAGCGATTTCACGTAATTGTGCGCCAAAATCTTAACTATGATATATGAAAATCGGCAAGAAATAAAATTTGAAATAATATGTTTTTTACGTATAAAGTTATTTTATATTAGAATCGAAAATAATGGTAAAAATTTTGAAACTAAAAATCCGCACTTACAGAAATCATGGAATTTTAATAATGAGTAATTTTGAGTAATAAACTAATTTTAATTGGTGTATGTATCTTGCGTTTGGCTACAAGAAACCGCATGATATCGTTTAATAGCGTTATTTCATACATCTAAAATTACAAGTAACTCAACATGATATAATTTAAATAATGCTATTTACTTGAACTATATAATAAGAGATAATTATCGATGGTGTGAAGGAAACCGCAATTGTATCATGTTTTTGGATGACATTTTGGTGTCGTTATTTTATATTTGCGTGTATTCGCACGGAATACAATATGCGACGTTATCTGATGTAATAAAATGTCATCTGATACATTAATTTTTTTGTACCATAAATTATTACCCTCTTAAAGTTGGTTATCGTAGTGCTTTGTTTGTCATCTTTGACAATTTACAAGATACAAATTATAATAAGGCTCTCGTTTGATTGGTTTGGATTCGGCCGAGTCGGGGAAAAGCATTAGATTAGAGGAAATACTAGTTAATCATCGAATGACATGAAAGAGAAAGGTCTTAAACTCAAGACCTCCACGTAAAGCTTCTTTTTACAATGTCATACTCTAATGTTCCAGCAATAATTTTGTTGTGTGTATAAACCTTTATATTTATAGAATTTGGAACAATTAACATTTTCGTTTGATTTGGAAACAAAAGAAAACATATGTTTAAAATATTAGGACAAGTGACAATTTTACTATTTAGCTATACATGTATGTATACATTCGAAATACTAGTTCCAAAGTATTACAGTGAGTAGTACAGTGAGAAATAGCATCTTAAAATTAGAAGAAAATTGCCGTTTTTTTTTTCTTTCATGCCATTCGATAGTTCTGCATTAAATACGCATTCTGGATTTGGATGTGACACAATGCACACAATCACACATTCTATTCTCAGCACTCATTTCGATACTGTGTATTTCATACATTCCTTTTCACAAACAAGTCCTTATTAAATACTTTTATTGAAATAATAAGAATAATTTCTAATAGTAAACAAATAGTCATAATTAATTACATTAGTTAATAATAATAATAATAATAATAATAATAATAATAATAATAATAATAATAATAACAACAACAACAGTATACGTATCATTATTATTATTATTATTATTATATATTATATAATATATATAGTAATAATAAATTAGGAACCACGTACAATATGAAATATGGGAAATTAAATTAGAATACATTTTCTGTTAATGAGGACTATTTATAAATAATAAAAATACCATTTGTATATTCGCTTTTATAAATGTTTAGGCCACGCTTTCGATTCTTACATTAAGCTTTTTTCTCTTTCTCTTTAGCTCTATCTTTTTGTTGTAAGCAGAAATTTTGAGTAATTTGAAAAGAGAAAGCTATTTGTTGTCATAATTATTAACGTGTCTCCAAGCGACGAGCGACGGGTGAGTGATTAATATGAAAAAGGTGAAATAAACGTTTGGAAGCTTTCCTTCTTTTATATACTCGCGCGCAAGAGTATCTACAAATATACAAATTACTATCGAATCGTCGTTCAATGTCTTCAGTATCTGTTCTGTCACCCCCTTAGGTATGTTCTTTTAACAAATTATATAATTATAAAAATATGCATTTCGGTTTTTTTTGAAGCATAGTGCATCATGGTACGATGAGGTATCAGGCTGATGGAACGTAGTAATACAATGTGGCGAAAACGTTGCTTTTTTTTATAATTAATATAGCTTACAACCCGGGATATGTTTAACGTAAAATAATTTACTATTTACAAGAAGCTGAGACAAAATGACAAGGAGGCCCAACTTTCTATACGCGATGAAATATCTCCAAATATACATATCAATTCCACTCTATTGCATTGTTAACATAACATTTTTAATACTACATGAACTACAATCTGAAAGTTGGAAAGGTTTTGAGTAGAGAAGCGAGATGCAAAAAAATTCTAAATCTGGTAGCAATTGTGCATATAATCGGAGACTGAGCCTTTTATCTAAATAAATAAATAACGAAACAAGAGAGAACAATGCATGATCAATATAATTTAATATTAAACATAGCAGTTTCTTTGATTTTATATTTAAACAATTTAACAATTCCGGTATGTTACTTTTTATTTTACGTATGAGACGATAATCATAATTAATATCTGAAATGATGTATGCGTACATCATTCAGTATTCATTCCATTGAAATCGAGATAAATAGGACAAAAAGTATTAGAAATTCTTTGAATTTCATTTAATATTCAACTTTTATCTGTACAAACAGATGAAGATATTTAGTCGCAATTTTTCGTTAAATTAGCAAATTATGATCTGCGCTTACAGAGTCATTGAATTTATTATTTTACCGTATTTGTTGCTTTATTTTGTAATAATAGTTAACGGCATTTTTAATTCCGTTTTTTTTTTATTTTTACCGCTTGTGATTACAGATATGGAAACGAAAATTAATTCACTATAAGTACGTCATTTTTCTGTTTCTGCTTAAGATTTGATAAACGATATTTCGCGTTACAGGAGCAAAACGTCTTGAAAAAATATTTGTCAATATATAACAGTACAACGCCGGATGGCGATCTGACGTCAATAGACTTTCTAACCGATTAGTAATAAATAGCATCTCTATTATTAGCGGCAAAATGTACTTCACATGTGCTTAGGGAACTATTGCTTTCTGGTAAGACATCGGATTTAATCTAAATTTAAATCTTAGATACTTCTACGTAAGACACATATGTTCATTAACCCTTTGATACTAATAATACGTTCCATCGCGTTCACGAACATTCTTTGGAAGAGCCTAGTGAAAGTATAATGCAAGTTACTAGATCTAGTCGCAATGTATTAGACCTCTGCGACGGGAATATGAGCTATTGTAGAACGTATTTGTTTATATATTATCATATATATCCGGAGATATATCAGATTAAAGTCTTTTACGGATAACAAAGTTAGGATTGAGTGTAAGTAGCATACGTATTAAGGATCAAAGGCTTTACCTTGTCTATTATCAGTGTTTTACAGCTATTAATTTCGTGTTTTACAAGATTTCGTCACTAGCGTGTATCAGCGTCCTGCGCTCGTAACACGGTTAGCAAATGGACGACGCTCATTGCTAATTTTAATGAGAAATACATAATTTCCTTTTTATCTTATTTGATCTTTCTTGATTAGGTGTACCACAACTATTTGCTTTCTTACAAACGAGAGTAGAAAGGCACTACTTTTGCAAATCTCTCTGTGTGTGTGTGTGTGTGTGTGTGTGTGTGTGTGTGTGTGTGTGTGTGTGTGTGTGTGTGTGCGCGCGCGTGCGTGCGTGCGTGTGTGTACGTGTATGTGATATAGTGAGCGAGTGATGCGTGTATTATTTTTCTTTCTTTTTTATTCGTTGATGAGTGATGACAATAAGACGCGATACTATACAAACGTTTCCATAAAAATTAACATTCAATGGTCGCGAATCCGTTACTTTCACAGAAGAATTTACAGAACTGTTTCATTTTCACATTACTCATGCAAAGTCCTATTCCATTTTTAGACCTTTGGACGAAAGATTCTTCGTGAATCAAGATGTTCGTTAGAAGGAATACACGATAATCGACAAGCATTAAACGTCCCTTCGATCAAGCGGAGGACATGAGTGCGACAATACGGGAATGTCTTGATTACGATATAATAATCGAAAAGAGTTGACATTGTTGTGTCATCAGCTTAGAAATGGTACGTACTGAATGGTTAACGTACTTGATTTGTGTTCGTTTTTTCAGCAACGCGTTAGGATAGTCAATCACTCGCTGAATGAAATAATGGAATTATTCCCAACAAGTTCACTAATAAAGGCTACTAAAGGCCGCTGCTGTCTCGAGATATCTCGAACTACCTTCAACTAATGGAGTAGTTTATTCGACGATTTTTCGTTCGTCTCGAGTATCGTCGATAACGAGTCCTCGCGGCAAAACGTTGTATATGGACGACGCGTCACGTAGTTCGCTATTGGCTCGAGGACTTGTTCTCGCTGATGGATGCCATCCTCATCGATTCCGTTTCCGGACAATTCCAATTGGGCATTCTCGTTTGTTCTATCGTCGCCTAAGAAGACATTTCAAATAAAGTATTATTATTATTGATTGTTGCGAATTATTAGAATTTGCATTTGCATCTAGCCGATATTAATATTTCGTAGATAGAGCCACGTGACACAAACAAGCTTTATCTTACCGAGCTATTAGAATTCTTGGCCATGAAGATCATAAGAGAGCGGCTGCGGTTGCTAAACGGCCTCAGCTCCGGATCTCGGCCAGGACCATCCACCGTATCGACGCAGTTATTGCTGCAATAAAAAGAAAAAAGCCGAATGTAATATTTACTGCAAATCTGAATCACAATAAGGGTTGTGAATTCCTTCGAAAAGTCAAAGTTCTGCTATAACTAAAATAATAATAATGAATAATAGACGATCAATTACCTCGACCGTAATTCCTTCTGTTTTCGCTTACAATGAATATAAGCCGTTATACAAATGATAACGACGAGGACTACTGCTATTGTGGCACCACTGGCGATGCTGGCTGTCTCCAACAGTACTCGTTGCCGTGAAGCTGTAAAAAAATAATTTTTATTTCCATCTTGTTAAATATATTCGGAAGAAAATTCCAATATCTTTGGTACGATTAACAATGTTATTTACTTCAACTATACTTTGGTAATAAAAAAGAAAATTTTAAAGTATAATAGATTTTAATTTTAAACGGTTTCAAATGTTGTTAAACATATGATGATGAAAAGGATATTTTTGTCTAGAATTTGGATCTATCCAATATCTATACAACATCTATATAGTAATGTACATAAATTGAATTAATAATATTAAATTAAGTTAATTTTGTTTTTTACATGGACATTATATGCATTATTCTATTTTTGATCAAAATCTCACAGAAAAATTACATTTCTATTATTATTTCTCTGTCAAAGTACTTTCAAAGACTGTTTCCGTATCACGTTGCAAAAATTATAAAAATTCTTCAAGAATGGCAAATTTACTTACGTAAATAGGAACCATCTAAATCTTTAAATTCGCATCTTTGTCCGATGTATCCATTGGCGCATCTGCGAAATAAAATATTAAAGATAACTATATTAATTGAAGTTATTGAAATACCACGAATAGACGATTCGTGTGCTTTTTTCTTTTGTAATTTGAATAACAAAAAGATAACATAGTATGCTTTTTAAACCTTAACTGTTTTTGCTACCGTTATTAATCAGATAAATGTACTCATATCGAAAATTCAATTAGTGACAATTTAATTAGGTTTAATTACAAGCCTAAATTAGACTTAATTGTAAGATGTTAAAAGAATCGTTAATTGAGATGATTTACTAAGCGTGTGATTATGTGGTAATTAAAAAAATTTCCATATTAATTTTGCTAAATGGTATTCATAACTTAACTCTCGCCAGATCATACAATTAATTGAATGAAATTAGAAGAAAATGACCAACATTTACATATTTAAAATTTTTTATAACAATCTAATAATTTTAATAATATAAAATAAAAGTAATTATTATATATAAGGCTCTAAATGTGTAAAACAGTATAAATAAAAAAAGGGCAATTAGTTAAACAAATTTAATTCAAAAAATCTTAATATACAAAATAACTAAAAACAAACGTTTCGACTCCGATCAGGTCATATTTTCAATGTACAAAAAATATATAAAGTATTTTGAAAGTTTCATATATAACAGTTAATCAAAAGAAACATTATTGCCAGACGCATTTTGGAGAAATCTTCTTAATACTATATAAATTTCTTCAATGATTAATCTTTTGTCAATTATAAAATAAAAAGATGTAACATGTCCAATAATAAAGTCACAAAGTTATAAAACATACATGTTATAATAAAAATTAATTAAGAAATTTTGCAGCAAAAAGAAGCAACCAATCTAGTTGATGATACAGATAAGGTAATTCTAATAATATCATTTCTCAGCTCACATTTACACCGATCAAATTTTTTTGTAATATTTCAAATATAATCCCTTCATGTGTGTATTTAGTTTCTCCAATTTCTCAAGTTATTTGATGTTATACATTATTTTCCATCATTATCTTATTTCTCTAACATATTGAAATATTAAAACTTTGTATATATAACAAAGTTCAAACGAAGCGTATTCATATAACGACACAATAATACAATTCTATTATAAATTTTCAAAGAAATAGAAACTAATAATTATGTCTCTTCTTCTTGTTCTCAATTTATCGATTTTGTCAAAATATTTCTTGCAATATAAATTTCTCTTCGCTTTTATCAAATTTTTATTTATTTGTAAGCACAGTCAATTATAATTACTTAGCATCGTGTAGAAATTCTTATTCAATTTTGCGAGTGTTATATATATGTATATAAACTATTATGTCACAATATCTTATTGATGTCATCATTCGTGGGTTGCGGGCTTCTTTTATTGTTAGATTGTATTTGACAAAATCTAGTACACAATATTTTAAAATTCACGAGAAAATGTGACTGTCAGATTAATTCAAATCGAATGCGACAAGTACAAGATGAGAAACGAACGATTCGATTCAAACGGCAGATCGCGGTCGACAAAGCAAACACCGTGGGAAATAGTAAGGTTGAGTGAGCACGATGTGCTCTGCACTCCTCGATGCTATTCCGATGTTAATCCGATTACTCGATAGATCTTTTTTCCGATATTTAAATTCAACTTCGCTCGATGCTTATGCTACCAGCATTAATCTTGCAAATGAATTGAATCGTTATTAAACGATAGTTATCGTATTCGTGGAAAAGAGGAAAAAATAAAGAGAAAATGTCGGTAGAACTAGTCAAAAAATGCTGGCAGTTTCGGAAAAATGTTGCACGAACCGACAGGAATTTCAATGTACGTGCCGAGGTCGCGTAGTCACAGATTAACGCAGCTATACAACGCGAATGGCACCGTGATGCCGTCTTTCCCTCTGGGTGGCTCTTTTGCCCGGAACCGCCACGATTGTTCATGGCTGTGTCGCACAGTAAGGCACCCGATGGAGAGTGGAGTTACAATACTCATGTATGCGTTCTCGCATAAATGTCAAGACATTTTCCAGAATTCCGACTGCCGTAGTCCGCGGAAATTTCAGTTCATGGAAAATCCTCGGATAGAATTTTCACTTGAGTTTATTGTCGCAGAGACGCGGTTACTGGTATTGGTACGCGCATAGTATCAAAAAGGATATAGACTCGTACTTACAGACAGTTGTATAGAAGAGAGTCGACAATTTTTACGGTGAAACACGTGGCGCCATTCAAGCAATACCACTCTGCATAATCCGGTGGACACGTGTACATGTGGAATGTGATATTCGGCCGATCCGTCGGCGTCGGCGGCCTTGGTTTTGGCGTTGAACGTGACGAGCAAGCGTCTGTCAATAAAATATACAACAATCATTAGACCCTTTTACATTTACATCACATGCGTACCGCCTTTTTTCCTTCGTGCATGCCAATAAATCAGTTTTAACAAAGAAGATTTCAAGTTTGACAATTTTACATATTCTAAAGTATTCTCATTTCTAAAGTATTATTTCATATACATTACAGTTATTTTCTTCCATTACTATTATTATTATGAACAAATTTACATTTTGCATCCCATGTATGGATAATCAGTTATATCGGAGATAACTTTAATGACTGATGATCCTATACGAGCGTTTCTGGTCTCATTATCGAGATGAGACAAAGATAGATAAAGAGAGAAAGAGCGGGAGTGAATAACCGGATAAGCTACTAAGGCGCTTCAGGAATTTTGTCGGTTTTTCCAGCTTCCTTGGACACAATGGATGGGGTCGTGCTTGTTCCTCGCTCTTCTACTCACACCCTCGCTTTTTTCCAAACATCTACCGCACGCGGCACCGACGGCGGTGGCCACCCTAGCGAAAAGGCGAGAAGAGCAGAGGAGAGGAGAGGTGAGATGAGAAGAGGCGAGAGGTGAGGTGAGACGAGTTGAGATGAAGTGAGGTGAGGTGAGGTGAAACGAGGCGGGGGAGGGCGGAGGGGGATGAGAGCGCGTGCATCTCGCAGGCGCGAGACTGTACACAAAGCTGCAAAGTACAGCCAAGGCGGCGATGGTTGCATCTGTCCCGCGCGTGGCTGCTGTCCGTCACCTGTTGTAATTTTACAATCTGCCGTTTCCATACCTCGACAACGCTTCACGCTCCGTACGCTCCAGTTTATCGAGCAGGCGCGGCGTTTTATCTTTTCCTCGCGAGAAACTCGCACGCGCTCTCTGTCTTTCTATCACTCTTATCATTTCGACTTTACCCGTAGTAAACATTCCACAGCTAAAGGTAATCTTTGAGTTTTACGATTGAAAATATCTCGTTACATCATTGTTATTCAGATTTGTCGATTGTCGCTTCATCTTTACAGCAACATTAAGAGATAGAGACTGAATGTAGATATGTACGTACGTATGTATGTGTGTGTGTGTGTATGTGTGTGTGTGTGTGTGTGTGTGTGTGTGTGTGTGTGTGTGTGTGTGTGTGTGTGTGTGTGTGTGTGTGTGTGTGTGTGTGTGTGTGTGTGTGTGTGTGTGTGTGTGTGTGTGTGTGTGTGTGTGTGTGTGTGTGTGTGTGTGTGTGTGTGTGTGTGTGTGTGTGTGTGTGTGTGTGTGTGTGTGTAGGGGGGCAGATAAGCGTGTTTGACAGGCATACGCCAAAAGTTAGCCTTTGTAATTGCAGCGCGACGCGAGAGAGGCGTGAGGAACAGGGAAACGGATAACGATACTCCACGTCGATTATCTCGACGGTTTTGCGTCGGGACCAGGTGCAACGTGACGCGCGAGTACTATTACATTACACACATTTGCTCGTATCGTCTGGCATAAGTCGCGCATAAAATGAACGCTTTGTCGCGAGGGCGAAGGCTCCGTTCGGCACGGAAATATTCTGTACGGCAGCACTTTTGTCTGCCTTGTCCGCAAATAACGAAGGAAAAAAAAAAAGAGAGAAAAAAGGAGAGGAAAAACGACAGATTGTAAGATTGTGGCGCAACGAGCGTAACAAGTGGCGAAGAACGTAACACGGGCGACTGATTCACCGTGTAATACGAAACGATAATTTATCCTCCTTAAGTACACGCTATTTCCATGGGCGTTTCTCTTTCTTCTCTTGTTCGTTGTTCCCAATAATATAGCGACCGCCAAATTGTAACGTAGCTTATAAATGCAAATAAGGAGTACAAACATAATTTAAGGATACTTTGTAAAATTTAATTCGTCCTATTAAGCTGCCAAACGATACAGTACGAGTATACAATGGGTACTGATACCAACCTGCTATACCGAAGAGAGTATAGAAAAGAAGTAGTATAGTCGTGAGGTAAGGCGGAATTTTGCATCCTCTCGCCATGGCAGTGACGACAGAGGGGTTAGCGACGGCGGTGGTCGCGATAGGCGAGGTTCGTGCGAGAGGATGGACGGTGGTCGTCTCGGTTCGATGGACCTCGACTTCGGTGTCAACGTCGCCGCTTCCGCGAGACCGCCGATCGTAGAACCGATGAAGCCGAGGATGGAGACGGTCGAGGCACATCTTATCGTCCTCCTCCTCTTCGTCGTTGTCGTCATCGTCATCGGTATCGTTCTCGTTGTTCTCGACAGCCTTGTTTCTGTCGTCGTCGCCACCACCGTCTTCGTCGCCGCTATCGTTGCCTTCGCCGTCGCTACCCACGTCATCGATGTCCCTTCGATGGTGGTATCGTTGACGCGACGATGAATGACGATGACTACGATAATGGAGATGACAGTGATAAGGCGGCGAATGATAGTGGCGACCGGCGACTCCGCTGTCGTCGCAGGGAACTTCGTTCCTCACTACCGACGAGCTAATCTCCTCCACTGATATCTCGCTCGCCTCGCGGCATCCCCTATCGTTGACCTCTCCTTCTTGCGTTTCCTCGGCAGCGCGGGCGACACCACCTGGGACCAAACTCCGGCGCACGTGCCGCCGCTTCCCTGAAACCAGATACCCGTCCGGGCGGCCGTTTATAATGTGTTTTATCGCGGGTGAAGACTTCGGGATCTAGCGAACCCCACCAGGCCCCACCGGGCCCACCAGGCCTGATGACAGGCAGGATGGGACGGCTGTTGGGCCGCGGCTGAATTCGCTTTCATGCGTAAAGTGCGCTCTTTTCGATTCGATCGCTTGCTGTCGCTTTCATATCATCGTATTATACAATAGTTTTGCTTGGGTTCATTTTTTTTTTTTTTTTTTGAGAAAGAAAGTAATGAGCAAGCGAGATCGAGATAGAGAGAAAGAGAGAGAGGAAAAACAGAAGCAAAGGAAAATAATAAAAATGCATTAATAAAAACCATGTAAGTCTTCCCATATTAAATTCAACAACTTCAATACGATATATAGCCGAATATCATAGAAATCAATGAAATGTGTTGTTAAATTCCCGAAGATGCGTAAAGTAATGACCCTTACATTTAGAATTAATTATTTGTCGATTTTTTATTGGTCCTGCTGCCATATCATAGCACAACACAATATCTTATTTAATTCCATCATATCGCATACGCAACATCAATGTGATTCGCAAGATACACTTAAAAAACGAGTAACACACGTGTTAATTTAAAAGTTTTGATCCGAAGATATGAGCTTTGAAAATGAATCGGTCCCAAGAAGTCATTGACAGCGATGAGTCGTGTCAATTACTGGAATCCGATACACACCAAACTGTACGAGATATTGCAGAAAAACTAAGTGTACATTACTCAATTTTGAGAAAATGGAAAAATTAAACAAATAGGATCCCCATAAATTAAAAAAAAATATAACAAAGAAATATAGCATGTAAATTCATAATTCTTTTCTCACTCACAAGATGAAAGAAATCCATTTTTTGTCACACATTACAAAGGCTCGATACCAAAGCAAATTTTTTACCTAAGAAAGAATAGGATGACTGTTGATAGTCTATGTTGACGGTTATTATCAAGTTTTCTCAGAGAGTGAAATGAATAAGACAGAAATATAGTGAAGAATGTCAAAAAATGCAGTGAAAACTTGTATACGATTAGCTTCAGTCAATACATATACAATACAAATATATATATGTATACAATTTTTCACTGCATTTTTTGACATTCTTCACTATATTTCTGT